TATCAGAATATTCCCTGCCAAAGTTATCATATAAATTAAAAGAAAGAAGAAGAAGAAAATAAATTGTAGCTCTTGGGGATTCTTGAATCCTGTAAGGATGAATTTGGTAATATTTGTTGACATTTCCATATCAATTTTCTTTAGGATTTGCATCTGTGGATAAAAAATATTTGCATATAGTGTGATATTAGTATGAAAGAAACATGTTTAAAAATACCATAATATCATATTTCACTGACCTAATCATTAATCACTACCTTAGATACAGATTCATATAAGCATGCAAATGATCATGAAGATAAATATTGCAAAGAAGCCAGATTTCTTTTTATTGGAACTAATGGATAAGCAATACAGCAGAGGAAGGAATTGTGAAAATGCCAGAATTCATAGAAATGTAAAAACTGACATGTTTCATCAAGGAAAAAATAACAAAAACTTTTCTAAAAGATTGGAACTTTTATACAGATATTTTGCTAAATGAAGAAAAATTAAATTATTATTTTGAAGGTTAAGAAAGGTGTATTAAATGAGGGATGAAGGGACTTCCATCTAAGAGGAAAGGAGTGTTATCTATTGAAAGTAGTTCAGAATTCATTTACTTATTTTTAAACTTTAATTTCTTATTCTTTTTTATTTTCCCTCCCTCCTTCCTTCCTCCCTCTCTCCTTCCCTTCCTCCTTGTAGTTTCTCTTCTACTCTATTAAATAATTCTTAATAAACATAAATATTTTTTAAAAAAGTTAAGTTCATAGCAACCACAGTAGATTAATTTATAATTATTACACCTGTATTGTAAACTTCTGACTGTATCCTGCTTCCCAGTTTTTGTCTCCATTCCATTATAAAACTGTACTCACTAATCAGTGAAGGATTTAAACCCTATTTGACTTGCTAAGTTATTCCTATATGTTATTACTATATTACAAAAACTCCAAAGCATTTATTAGGTTACAATATTTGTTTGAATTCACATTGATTTTTACCTATACTCCTTTCTACAGTTTCATCCACCAAATATTAACAATTTATTTATTTCAATTTTTAAAAAATCTGACAAGATTTTTTAAATTGATTGAGCGATTATCTTACCTTGTTTGTTAGTTCTGTTCTACAATTTTGCATTTTGGGAAAAAACCCTGTAATGCTTTAGTCTGATGATACACATCAGATAGTACATCTTGCAACATTTCATTAGTTCATGTAGAATATCACTTATTCATATATATATATACAATGGGTAAATGCATTCACTGAAATAATGCAGTCTTTTATACCAGACTGTTTTATGGTAAATTTTCTGACAAGGTTAATTTACAGGTACTGTAAATCACAGAGGATGAAATGTAGGGGGAAAAAACTATGAAATCCCTTTCGACCTAAGCAAAGTCTAATTAATAAAGGAAGAGAAAGGAAAAGTTAACGAAGAAACATAAACAGATTAAATGTATATTAATATGGTCTAGGGCGGGGTTCCCCAAGGAGTCACATGGGATGATCCCCTATTGTCATTTTTGTTATGTTATTATTATTCATTGTGCTATTAGTTAAAGTAGTGTTTATTAAATTTTAGCATAATAAATGTTTGGGAGTCAATAAACAATCTGAAACTTCATGAACAGATCAAAAAGCTTAAGAGTTTGGGGATTCCTGATCTAGAATGAGCAACAATTTTCCAACTGGGTTTGCATATTTTTGAAAAATATTTTTTAAGAATTTATTGGATTTACTGGTGATCAATAATTTTAGATAGATGGCAGATACATAGAAGATAGATAGATAGATAGATAGATAGATAGATAGATAGATAGATAGAACGAACAAATAAAATGGAGGTGACATTTTGATGACCACTTTTTGAAGTGATGGAAAGTAATAATTGAACTAAATGTAGTGAAACATTTAAGAGTAGTTTCCAATTATCCTTTGACAATAAACAAAATTTTGCCAGCACATCAAAACCTAGCAGTACAAGACAGAGTTTGATTGTTTTTCTTCTGGAGCCTTCTCCCATATTAGTAGCCCCAAGTGGTTCAGTAGTACCTGTTTTGCTTTATTGGTGTGAATCAAAACAGCCATAGATTACATAGATACAGACACTTCAAAATCTTGAAGAGATTGGAAGTTTATGGTGCGGTATGTGGGAATCTCATTAGGTATGCTTATTCTACTGAACTATATTATTAATTCATTTGCAATAACGATTGTACTAACCATATGAAAATTGCCCTCATGTATACAGTTGCATACATATTGACTTTTTTAAAATTATTTTCTTTTATTAATCCTGGCAAAGCATCAACTGGATTCATAGCAGTTTTAGAAAATGGATGGAACAAAGAAATGATTTCCATAATACCCCAGTCCACTTTTTCCTTGGATTTTACATATCGGTAATTTGGACAGGATTGAACATGAAGTTTCTCATCTTTAATCATGCCTGACTTTAAAAGATTTGAATAGAACTACATCTTTATTTGCCAAAAGAAATAACTTCTCCCTCTCATCACTATCATCCTACAACTCAGAAAGAAAGGGATTTTAAAAAAAAAGTGTACCCCCCCCCCTTACAGCCTTTTTTATGAGGTTGGTTCCGAGAAACAATAAAACTGGTTTGGATGGCAATATTTTCAAGAAATGCTTCTTGACAGGAGTCAAGAATTCTTCATTTTTCCATTTTTGTAATTGACTTCTGTTATGAGAAGTCAATTACCACCTTTAGAGCGCTCCATGGCTTAGGACCGGGGTATCTACGAGACCACCTTCTGTCACCAGTGGCCTTTCACCGACCAGTACGCTCCCATAGAGAAGGGCTCCTCAGGGTGCCGTCGGCCAAACAATGTCGACTGGCGGCCCCCAGGGGGAGAGCCTTCTCTATGGGGGCACCCGTCATCTGGAACGAGCTCCCCCCAGAGATACAGAGGATCCCGGACCTTCCCGCTTTCCACCATGCCATTAAAACATTTCTTTTCCAACAGGCCAGCCTGGCCTAACCTCTCTTTTAAACTTTTTAAACTTTTTAAAATTCTTAAATTTTAAATTTGTCTTATAAATTGGGGTGTTTTAAATTTTGTTTTTTGGGCCAATTATTTAATTGTATTTTAATGGTTTTTTAACATTTGTATTATATGTATTTTATTTGGCTGTTCACCGCCCTGAGTCCTTTGGGAGTAGGGCGGTATAGAAATTCAATAAATAATAATAATAATAATAATAATAATAATAATAATAATAATAACTGAAATATCTCTACTCTACTCCTCATTATCATCTTCTCAACATAATTATTGTTTTAGTGTCTTCATGGAAGTATGAATACATGACAAGAAAATAAAGCCATGGTAACTACAGGCATGTCCCCAAGTTCCTCTCATTTTTTGCCTTTTAAATTAGTCTATGAGGTAGACTAAAAGGCAATAGCTAGTACTGTTACCCAATAAGCTTCAGGGCTGAATTAAATATGATGAAGACATATGTGGTTTTACTGGAGATAAAATGATAACACTGGGAAAACTACACTAATTTTTTATTGATTTTACAAATATGTATATAGCACATTTTATTTGAGAAAAATCTCAAAAAATGAGTAATGTATAGAACAATATTAAAAATTGTTATAAAAATTTAATCTGTTTTCATATGGCCCCTGCAGAAAACTATTACAACAATCAATACATGAATTAGCAAGTAAGCAACAATTTTTTTAAAAAAATCATTTTTAAAAAAGCATTTGTACTAATTTACCAAGCATAAATTTAAAGGAAATTTTCTTCAGACTTATCAGGGTTAGGGTATTTGATAATATAGGTGTTTGTTGTCAGTACAAAGCTTCTCATTACTTATTAGCAGGACCACCTCTTACTGATAATCACATAAGAACTGGCAGAAGAAATATGTTATGAGTTCCATCAAGAATTGTTATTTAGTGGAACTCAGGAAGTGAGCCTTTTCATGACTTGCAGTATGCTCTCTGGAACACTATTTTTCCAAAGATTAGATTCTCCTTCACCATGCTTGCTTTCTACAAGACCCTGAAAATGTGGTTGAGTTCTCAAATGTGAAGTTTGGATTGTCAGTTAGAGCCCATGATATGATTATGTTAACTATAACTTGATTAATCATATTTTTGGGTGACAATTATGTCCTCATTTTTTTGTTGGTTGTGTTTCACCTTCTCTTAGCTGGTTAAAGTCACCATATGTGTGGCCATATAAATTGCAAAAAATAAATAAAGTACTGGAAATATACAATAAGATATTTAATTTTTGCAACAGATGATTGTACCAATGAAATTGGTTTGCTTCATAATGTAGACTAAACTTTTTAAGGGTTGAAAATCCGTCTATAAGAGAGATGGATAATTTAAAATTGTGATAAATAAATATGCCCTCTAATAGTTAATGTAAAACTATTCTAGGCTGAAATCTCAATATATTAGAAGTGGAAATAAATCCACTTAAATTGCTAGATTTAACATCTTATAAGACATGAATAGGAAGGCACCATTTTGGGGTTATTTAAGAATATTTATCATCGCTTTATTGGTCCTTGAGTAATAGCTGGAAAAAAAACCTGTATCATCCAAACTTAACATCAGACTTTGAAAAACATGGGAAAGAATGTTTCAGATATAATCAGTTTTAGAATGATGTATTTCAATTAGATAAATTATCCTTATTACAATTTCTGACCAATGAAATTTATTGCAGTTATGATACAACTTTATGTACTATAAGTAAAGAGAGAAACATATCTTAGGATAAGTTATGTTTCAGGGTGTGCTGAGGGAAGCCAAAATCTTGGATGAGAATAATGTTTGTGTTTTCTATCTCCTTTTCTGCAGTCAAAAAATGAGAATAAATAAAGTTTTGAAGTTTTTGCAAGCATTCATTGTTGCAAAAATTCTCAGTATAATTTGCAGAAGAAGTTGGAGGAACATAGGACTATAATAGTGAAAGCAATTTATTTGCTCATGCAGATCTAAATCCTAACTTCTTCAATTATAGCTTAAAATTATGTTCAGATATTACCCAAATATTACATATTTTCTTTTCATTGAAGTAAATGAAATTACTCAATGCCTTTTTCAAAGATTTCTTCACCTCTTGATTTCTCAAAGTGTAAACAAGAGGATTGATCATGGGAGTTAATATGGTGTAGGGAATCGAAAAAACCTTTTTAACATCCCTGAGTGTGCCAGTGTCTGGTAAAATATAGACAATCATCAGAGTTCCATAAAAAATAGTGACCACAATGAGATGAGAGGAACATGTGGCAAATGCTTTTTGTCTTCCGGTTGTGGATGGAATTCTCAGAATGGCAATAATAATACAAACATAGGATGCAATGGTTAGAATGAATGGGGGAAGAATATCAATTGATCCAAATATAAGAGCTAAAAGTCTGACATGACTCGTGTCTGTGCAAGAAAGTTGGAGTAGTGGACTAAAGTCACAGAAGAAATGATCAATTTTTTTGGGCCCACAGAATGATAGTTTTGCCACCAGACATATGATTATCACTAAAATTAATGCTGCACACAACCATGATGATGCTATGCAAATGCAAATGACTCTATTATTCATAATCATGGAATAATACAGTGGTTTGCAGATGGCAACAAATCTATCATAAGACATCACTGACAGGAGGTAACATTCCACAATGACAAGACAACCAAAACAAAATAATTGCATGAAACAACCCCAGACAGAAATTGACTTGCTATCACTTAGAAAATCTGCAATCATCTTGGGTAGGATAGTTGAACTGTAGCAAACTTCCAAGCAGGACAAATTTGCTAAGAAATAATACATTGGAGTATGAAGATTCTGCTCAGATACAATCAGGACAATAATCAAAACATTTCCGGTCAGAGTCAAAGTATAGATCATGAGAAACACCAAGAAAAGAAGCATTGAAAAATCTTCAAGTTTTCCCAAACCTAGTAAGATGAATTCTGTAACGTATGTTCCGTTTTCTCTTTTTTCAAAAGCATCAGTCTGCATCTGGAGGAAGAATATCATATAAATGATTTCTGAATCTGAAGAAACAGTATTATTTGAATTTATTTGTTTATATTTGTATATGTATTACAACTATATATATATATCACTATTAAACTGAAAAAAATATGAGCATTTCTACAAATTAATATAAATTATTACTTTATCTATAGATGATTTATTAGTGGAGTATTAGTTTATTGATTTGATGAATAAACTACATTCATAGCTGCATTCATAGAAAGTGCTAAGACATAAATAATGGTTTATCAATCATAATTTCTGGTTCAAACAGTACAGTAGGTCATATCCAATCAAATCGCATTCCAGCTGTAGGTCATGTGGGAACATAATCTCCTGAAATTAGCAAATAACCTTTAAACTATATTTTGGAATTAAAACAAATATAGAAAACACTATGGGTTGTTTGTTTGCTTCCATGTTTTATTTCATTATTATTATTTTGTGTGGGTGAACAAGTATAGCAGTAATTCTATCCCTTGAAAATAACTAATAAAGGTTCCATCTCCCACCACACTGTCTCTCTGTCTCTCTCCTTCTCTCTGTGTATTACCAAATTGCTGTGATTAGAATTGTGTGAAAAATGATAGAAATGATAGTAAACATCAAGATCATTAGGAGGTTTACCTTAAGAAAGGGGAAAAATGAAATTTCTTGAATGAAAATCTTGCAAGTGAAAAGTAGTGTTCTAGCTTTAGTTTCATCCAAAATACCCTTCAGAACAAGCCAATTCTGTAATTTTTTCAAACTTAAGCAACAGTCATTTGGAATGGACAAACCTGTATTTAATATAATATATTATGCTATCCCATGTGATTTTTTTCTCTGCCTTTTCCATAGTCCCCTTTTTTAAATGATGATTAATTGATCACTTCAAGGCCTTTTAAATAATTTCTGTAAGAATAATGGTCATAGGAGAAGAATGAAGGGGGAAAAACAAGCAAAAAACAAAGTTTAAGCTTCTGGGATTAATTACCAAATGGAATTAATGTTATAGCTAGAGAAAATTATATTGCAAGAAGGGAACTTCATAACTTGGAACAATTCCTGTATTAAAAAATAACAACTCTTATAGTCTTTAGGAAGATGGCTATAGTTACTATCTTTAATATTCTTAATTTAAATGAGAATATGCTTATGTTTGCATTATTTTGTGTACTTTGTTCAGCCAATTATTATTTTCTTTTATTTTTCTTTGGCATTTTACAAATTATTTTAAGATTTATTTAAAATTTACTAATATAACTAATAAAAGAAAATATAGCTATATATATTTAAAATATATTATATATAATTATTATATATCTAATATTTAATATTCCACTACTATATATCATTATAACATGGCTTCAAAATTAATACATATTAGACAACAACAAGGAGGAGGAGGAGGAGGAGGAGGAGGAGGAGGAGGAGGAGGAGGAGGTGGAGAAATGCCTACAAATCTGGATGAAAACTGTCCCGCTTGATTGGGTTCAGTAATGGTCCTTTGTGAAGACATCGTTCCTTCTTTAAGGGGCTACCAGACCCAATCCTACATATATTCCATTGCAGCCTTAAGAAGCCAGAAGGTGCATATACCTAGTACACAAGTCACTGAACAAGAAGCCCAGAAGGTTCTGGCTATTTCCTCAGGTTCCACAGGCTCAAATTCTACCCTTTGTCTAATAACACATATCCCCCACCAGCCTCACAGATTCTGCATTAAAGCTGGAGTCCAAAATAGAGTGAATATGAACATCATATTCACTCTATTTGATCATCAGATGTGTAACATATTCCTCACAGGGACCCTTAGATAAACTTTGACATTACTCTCCCCAAGAAGAAAGTTGTTCAAAATAGGGTGGATTAAGAGTGGAGAAATAGTTATGTTTTGCCACTCTTACCACCACAAGATATGTCCTAATACCAGTTCTAGCTCATGCCCATTCATTTATCCTTTTTGCCTTCTGTCAGCAGTGCTCTAAGTGTCTCTTACCCCATTTAAGTTCTCCTGATGTATATCACAGGGAACATTGTGAACCCTGGTACAATCCAATCTAAAGTTACTGCTACTTTGGTATTCCACCAAGGCTTAAATTGGAAAGAGTAGCAGATCTTCTGGAATAACCTCAAGCTCCATCTGTAATCCAATCAGTTCCACTTATCACATGGGATAGGTTGTTCTAACACCTGTGGGAGGTATTACAGGAGAATTTGAAGTCTGACCATGACAAGGGAAAAATTCATATTTCCTCAAAATCTAGACCAATCCACCATTTCCTTAAAACAAAAACCAGATCAGATATATTACCACTGAGTTGGCTCCTGGACAATTAGAGCAAGGCCTATGGCTTCTATAGTTGCCATGAACTCCCAAGCTATCTCCTACTCAACTCCAAGTGAAGGCAGGTTAAAGTCCCCTGGGACTATGAATCCAGGGAACTCCACTGCCAACCCAGCCACAAAGACAATGAGCTTAAGAAGGGAACTACTACATGGAAGGGAGGCTGGTACTAAAACAACAAACCCACTGCCACTTCTTTGTGCCCAATTTAAGAAATAGCCTCTCACAATCTACAATCTGAGAGTCAAGGCCTCTAGATGACTGTCAATTATGTCAGATGATCACTGCCACCCCCGTTTTCCTTCCCTGGGGTCTCAACTAGTGCCAAACCTAGAAATCAGCCAGACTGATCCCAAAGAAGGAATCACACATTCCAGTTCCAGCCAGTTCTCAGTAATGCATGCTATATCAGCCTTTTCCTCAACAATTAAATTGTAAATTAATTGTTGCTGACTGGTCTAGCATTCATCAGCAGTATCCCAAAGCCCAGGGCCTTGAAAGCCTACCATCCAGTTGAGACTGGAAGATGCTACAGGAACAATGTACTTGTATCTTGGTCCCAGTGTGCAGGACTTCTCCCTTTTTACTCCGCTTATCATCACCAATCTTTTACTGCCTACTTCTATCCCTTCAGAGCCCTCCCTCATCCCTGTCCATAAATATCCATTTTACAACCCGTGGCTTCTATCCCATCACACCAGTGGTAGGTTTCAGCAGGTTCTGACCAGTTCTGAAGAACTGGTAGCAGAAATTTTGAGTAGTTTGGAGAACCGGTAGTAAAAATTCTGACTGGCCTCGTCCTCATCTATTCTCTGTCTCCCAAGTCCCAGCTGCTTGGGAGAAAATGAGGATTTTGCAGTAACCTTCCCCTGGAGTGGGGAGGGAATGGAGATTTTACAGTATCCTTCCTCTGCCATGCCCACCAAACCATGCCCACCATGCCATTCCAGCCCACCAAGCCACATCCACAGAACCAGTAGTAAAATAATTTGAAACCCACCACTTCATCGCACATCAGTTGGACTGCAGATGAAGTGTTTCTGCCAAGATTGATTGGTTTTATCTATTTGCTGCCCATCTACAACTCTGATCATCTTACAATAAAACTATTATAAGTTTAATTAAAATATTATAAAAATGTAAACAGTAAGTTGATAAGTAAATTAAAATAATAAAGAAATAGCTAAGATGGCAGGTGGTATACTATAGAGTGGAATACGGAATCTTCAAATCCAGTAATCACTTCCAGGATGATATAACCGTGTCTGGTCCCTAGGCCAGTTGGCAGAACCAGGTTTTAAGGCCTTTATGAAACGATGAGGATTTATCTGGGGAGAAGGATATGAGGTTCCACATGGCATGTACCCATGACATTCCCATGCAGTTATTTCATTCAGATGGTAAACAGAACGGGAGAGCAGAAACCAAATGAATTTCAACAAGGAGTATGCAGAAGTTTACATAAGGGTAAGAAAAAAAAAATATCAAAGAGATCAGAATAAATGGGGTAAGGGAACCCATGCTAATTAACATTTTGTGTGTAAAATATGTGGTGCACTTAGGTTCTCACAAACTTAACATCTACAGCCCACAATAAGATGTAAATGGAGAAAGGGAAAAGGGAAAACATAAAAAAGCAAATCAGGGCAGGGGCTGGGGGGTGGCAGTTATTATAAAGGAAGGTCTGGATCCAAGGGAGACCACTGTTTCACAGATAGCTGGATGTGAGTCCCTCTTTGTGAAGTGGGGTCGTGGAGTATAGATGGGCTTGTTGGTAACATACCTGGCTCCCTGCCATGGGGCAATGGCCCTGCCCGGGCTGCTTAACGTTATAGCCGAGGTGGCGGTGGACACCCCCAGACTTGTTATCATGGGGGATATCAACCTGCCATCTATCGGTGAAACGTCTGAAGTGGCTCGAGAGTTCATGGCTTCCATGATGGCCATGGACCTTACTCAGTTAATTCATGACCCCACTCACACAGGGGGACACACTCTGGACTTAGTTTTTGTCTCTGGTCAGTGGTTGACTGGCCTTGATATAGGGGATATAGTCATCGAACCCTTGTCATGGTCTGACCACTTGCTCCTTCGACTGGACTTTCTAACCGCTGCACCCCGCCACAGGGAGGCGGGACTGACCAGGTGGTTCCGCCCCAGGGGCCTGATGGACCCTGATAGGTTCCAGATGGAGCTTGGGCCATTTCCTGAGACTCTGGCTCATGACTTGGCTGAAGACCTGGTGGCCGCCTGGGATAGTGCAGCTGCCGGGGCCTTGGACTGTGTCGTGCCTTTGCGGCCTCTGACCCGGCACCGAACTCACCTAGCTCCTCGGTTCTCTGAGGAGCTTAGGGAGATGAAGCGCCGGAAAAGACACCTGGAGAGTAGTTGGAAGACCAGCCACTCCGAATCCGACCGAACCCTGGTGAGACCTACCTAGTGGCGATAAAAGCGGCGAAATCTAGCTATTTTGCCGCTCTTATCGCGTCATCAGATAATCTCCCGGCCGCCCTGTTTAGGGTGACCCGCTCCCTCCTCCACCTGGAAGTGCAGGATGACCCCTTGCAGGGCCAAGCTGAGGATTTTGTGCAGTATCTGTATGACAAAATTGCTCAGATTCGGGAAGGGCTGGCCTCTGACTGGGTATGTCCGG